TCTTTGAAGAAGATGATGATGATGAATTAATTAAGAAAGAAGGTAAAATGGTTAAAGATGGAAATGTTTCGGAAATTTTAGAACATAATAAAAAATCTTATGAGGAATATTGTTCAAGATATGAGGAATTTTATGTAAGTTGATGTCTTTTGTACTGATTAATTTTTGTTTTATTTTATTAATTGTACATATTTATTTATTTGTCTATTTCATCTGCTTCGTAAAAAGAACCAATTTCAAATAGATCATCAATTAATAAAAGTATCTCAGCACAGGCAATATGAAAGATTAAAGAAAGTACATTCTTTTATTTTGGGTAAAGTAGAAGCTACCCAATCAAGCAGTCCAGTAACTTCAATTAGTGACAATCCTCTTTGTATGAGAAATATTAATGAGAAAGGTAATCTACAGAATTCAACCGATGAACAAACACAAAAAATTACTGATGATCAAAATAATGATGATACCATTTCAAGTACTTTGATTAAAAATGATGATTCCATTCAATCTGACATACTACCAAAACCATTCGTAGCATTCAAAGTTAATCAAAAGAAATTCACCGCAAAAAAGGATATTTTGGAATGTATTTCTGGTAAACAAACTTCTCAATCTTCATCTATATCAAGCTCATTACAATCAAATCAACCAGAAGTTAAAGATAAGGATGATCCAATGGATGGTCCGTTACCGAGTCCGGAAAAGAGTGAATCTCCAAATTATGATGATCATAAACACTTATCAAGTTCTTCAAATTCTGCATCTTGGGATAGTCGATCTAAATATTCTTATAGCGAGTACATTCCAAGATCGAAATCTATCATGGAGAGAAATTCGGATTATTTAGCTCATAATTTCAGGAGATCAATTAAACCTCGACCATATAGAAAGTTACGACCTTATGATAATAGACATAATAGAATTTTTCCATCTTTTCGAAGTGAAATAAAAACTTTTAATCCAACATATTCACAAAACAGGGTTTGGAAAAATGAATACATTTCTCCAAAATTTTCTGAGCGCTATTCTAGAGACAGAGATTTTACTTCTACCGCTGATAGTTCAAGTCAACACACCGATCGATTTTCGTCGTCGTCTTTTATAAATAATTCTCCAATTCATGATTCCACTCTACCTGAGTCTTCACAACAACCCGATAACAATCCTAATCTTATCCCAATTTCTTGCAGATTTGTGGCATCTTGATCTCTCATAACATTTACAGTCCATGTATTAACGGATGTGAGTGCAGTCAATTCACGAGGCATGTTGATTCTTCTAATATTCAAAATAGAAGTCTTGGATCCACTGATGCTTGTATTTCATTGATTAAAGACCACCTAAGCACCTTTCGTACTTGTGATATCTCTATTATCAAGATACAAGTGATCAGCTCAGGTATATTCATCGTTTCAAAAATTTTCTAGCTACAAACACACTTTCATAAACTTGGTCTATCGCCATTCTATGTCGAAGTGATATTTACATTTTTCCATTTTTTTTATATGCAAAATACGTAGAATCTGCTGAGTACTGTAAAGGCTTTACTAATAACTCACAAAACACCAATTCTCAATCAATAACAAATATGTTAAAGTAAGACATTCTTGTGACATAAGACCATGTTCAATCTACTTCTGTACTAATTGCTTAAGAAATAAAACAGAAATGAACAGTACTGTATTAAAGATCCTTCCTTAATGATGACATGATTAAAAGGGGCTGCAAATTATTTTTATGAAATTGTTTTCTACGGATTGTACTTTCTACCGGATTGTACTTTCTAATATTGACATTCTTTATTCCAATGTTTCTAGGTCCAGCGCATTTTACCCCATAATAAGATCCTTCAGATCAAACCATCATTTCATTTAAATATTGCCGTGAATATAATCCATTTCTATGTTATTCTTTAAAAAATCCATCAATTCAATTAGGTTTATTAATAAAAGGTTCTAATTTTGTCAGATCAGCCATGATTAACTTCCTGAATATTTTTTACATGCATATTTGCAATTTGATGCTGCATCAATGATTATATAATCAAATTTCTCGATTCCAATGTCTTCAGTCAAATCAGAAATTTTATTAACAATAATTTATAACGGGCGTTACATAGATATTCTGTATCCATGAACCGTTGTGATATAAAAAATATCTTGTAAAAAAATGTTTACAAGAAAGTATCGTTATGGAATCATTGAATGTTGGTAAAATATTATTCTAACACAAATCCTTCTGCATGTACTTCAGATAAATAATCCTTAAAGTGTTAATATATTCCTTTGTTCAGTTGTAGTTATAGTCCATCCAATCATCCAGTACGAGAATTTAAGTTCTTTGTTAATCGTATTTGTTAACCGTACGTTTTTTGTAGTAGAGCATATTTTTTTGATCTAAATCATATCATAAAATCACAAAGGATTTTCTATTATTTCAAACGAATTCCAGCTACGATCCAATCTTTAAGAAAAGAGTAAACTCTTATTAATCCCAAGTAGAAGTGACTCAAAGACTCAAGTATTTCAAAAATTCATCTATCAATATTTACTAATATATCTTTTGTATGATTATTAATGTCACATTGATCTGCCACTTTCATGAATTATGATTTTTAATATGCCCAGTAAGATTTATGATAATAGTATTTCGCTTCACATGACTTTTTCTTTTGGTCCGACCAGTCAGTTTCATTTTTATTTACAATATCAGAATCGGTAGAATTTATTAAACCTTCGTGTTTCTATTCATGACTCGTTTTATTATTTTTTTTGAAGATCGTTTTTTTTTTCGAGATTGTCCTTTTTAAGATCAATTTATTTTTTTTAAGATCATTCCCATGTTTTTTTTTCAAAGATCGATTTATTTATTCTTTTTTTTAAAAAAAAATAAAATATTTCCAAAATTATTATGAAATATAGTAACGAAATCTTATTTAATAAACTATGTATCATGACGAAAATCATGACAAGATCGTAACGAAAATCACATTTTATTTAATAAACTATGTAATCTCATAACATAAAATAAGCTATTTACGATATAAGTTACAACCTTGTCATTAGATTCCACCTGCATCATTGCGACAAAAAATTCGTAACATAACGATAATGCCATTATGGAGTTATAACTGAACCTCTGCAACTACCATAATCATCTCTACGTTTGAATGAACTGTGATCATTGTAAGGCTTATATTTCATTCTAGGATTTTGATAACCTCTGTAGTTATAATAAGGTTTTGGATTATGAAAATACTTGTTATTTTGATTATAAACTCTATGAGTCTGTGAATGATATCTATTAATCTCGAAGTTTCCCTTTATATCAGAAGCCATATGATGATGTGGATCATGTCTATCATTTCGAGGAGGAGGATAATCATGTTGAATATTAATTCTTTTATCACCATTATTAAAATTAATACCATAATTATCATTTCTTAAAGGTTTATCATCTCGAAGATATTCCATATTTCTTGGATGATACCTTGGACCTCTTTGATAATCAACATCTCTTTGATAATTCTCATAATGATGTATTGGATGATCTTTGTTATCAAATCTTCTATTATGCTCATCATAAAATCGACTTCCCATATTCTTATATTTATCTCTGGGAAAATAACCATAACGTCGAGCATGAATAAAATTTCCAGGCTTATGCAGACGATAATCATCTATCGGCTTTGTAT